GCCACAGCCTGGGGCAGAGCTGGCCCTGTGTCCAGCGACTTCTCTCTGAGCCCTTGGTTGTCAGTGCTAGCACTAATTAAAACAAAATCAATATTTTTTTTTTTCCTGGAAAAAGACACATAGTTCTGGCGCGCTCTTTCCCCGAGTGAGCTCCCATGTCTCAACTGCCCGTGCATGACGGGCAGGGAGAAGCCAACGGGATCCTGGGGCTGAGACAAAAGTCTGGGGCTTTGCTTCATTTGGGGAGGGGATTGGTTTTAAATTTTCAAATAATTTTGCTCCTCTCTATTAAATTAACTGCTTGGGAGCCTCAACCGCAGCCTGTTCCCTGCCATTCAGGCATTGTTTGGTCCTGCTCGGCAAACCCTGCAAGGGGAGATGGTGGCCAGGCCCCGGGGGGCTGGGGGGGCAGGAGGGAAGCGGGTCCCCAGGGCTGCCCCTCGCAGCCCATCCTCAGGAGCAGCCAAGGGGACACCCCAAGCGTGTCCCCCGAGAGCTGTGCCGCTGCATGTGCCCACCCCCAGCTGCTGCCCAGATGTGCAGGATGAGGAGGTGGCTCCCGGGGCTGGCCAGCACCCCGGCACGTGTTGGCAGGGCTCGGGTTCGCAGAGCCTCTGCCAGGGCCAGTTGGGCGCTGGGTGAACAGACAGTGACAACCAGGAAAGGAGGAACCGGCAACCGAGCCGCTCTCCCCGGGCACTGCTGCAGGAGGGGGAGCCACAGGTTTGAACTGCTGGATTTCCTCGATTTATTCTAGAAAGTAGCAGCTCCCAGGAGCTGGGTTGCCTGGGGCGAGGAGGAGAGCTCCATCACCGGGTTCCTAAACCGGGGTCAGCCCAAGCGCAGCGGGGATGGGCTGAGAGCGGCTCCTGCCCTGGGATGGGTTAGATGCCCTTCAAAAACCCAGCTTGCTGTGGCTCAGGGAAACACAAACCATTTCAGCAGCTCCCTTCCTTGGAAGGCACAATTAAAACTCTTTTAAAAGAAAACAAACATTTCTCATCAAAATGCCTGTTGTTCCTGGCCCGCAGCTGAAGGTCTCTTTACAGGCCAAGGCTGCTCAACACCAGCAGCTTCCCAAGCTGCCTCCGGGCAAATCGACCTGAGCTGCACTCAGAGTTCTGGCTGCATTTGGTAACCGGCCCTTGGAAATTCTGCACCTTTTGTAGAAAGTCAGGAAGGCTGGGCTGGTGCTCCCCTGCTCTCCCCAGGGTCTTTGTTCCTGGGGTGGCAGCGAGCTTATGGCCTCAGCGTTTGCTGTGTGAAATGGCTGCATGGGCCATATCCCATCCTCCGGGCACTCCCACACCTTTTTTTTAGCTGGAGCCTGTGTCTCTGTGCCACATCCCGCACCGCTGGACGTCTGGAGGGGAACCGTGCTGCTGCCAGCAGGACAATAGCGGCTGTGGTTTTAATTATTTGGGTTTAGTTGAGTGGAGCAGAACAAGACACTGAGAGCAGCGAAACCACAGGGAGAAAGGCGGAAAGGACGGTCTTTGGCTGTCTGCCTGATGGGAGGCGTGAGGGGGGGTTGGCTGGACTGTCCCGTGGCCGGGAGAGCACCAGTGTCCTCGCTGGGTCACAGCATGGGGCTGGGAACGGCGGTGGGGCTCGGCTGGTGTCAGTCTGCTCTCCTGCGACTGCCGTGCCGGGGCTGTCCCTGCCCCGCAGAGCTTGGCACTACGGGGACAAAGCACCGCGCGGTGACTCGGGAGCACGGACCCACCCAGGGTGCAGGGGGGGCACCGGGATGAATTAACAGGGTCCCTGCCCCAGACAGCCCTCGTGCCTGCACGTGCTGGCAGTGCCACTCTGTGCCTGGGAGCGGGGACGTTTCTCACTGCGTTTCCGTTCGCCTAGCGCTTTAGCAGACGCCTTCGCTGCAGTGTTGACTTTCAAAGGGCTGGAAGAGCTCCCACAGCTGGGCAGAGCAGGGGAGGAGGGTGCTTGTCCTGCTTAGGAAACACAAAACAATAAAAGAGGAACAATGGAGCCTCCTTCCCTTCACCCAAAATACCAAACGCCACCAAAACGTGGCAGAGCTCCGAGCAGCGCTGCTGGGGCAGCTCTCGTGTCCCCTGGCCCGAGGAGCGGAACTGTGGATTCCTCTTCCTCTTCCTCAGCCCTGGCAAGGGATGCTGCGGGAGGGCGGGTGCCAAGGAGCATCGCCAGAGGGCTGCCCTGACCTGACACTGCTGCCATCAGGCATTCCCAGCTTTGGAAACCACGTTTGGGCCAGGGCAGTAGTTTTTTCAGCCTTGGGGAAGGATTTTTTCAAGCTGCTGGGGCTTCCCAGGTCAGCTGAACGTGCTTCGCAGCCTGCCCAGAGTCCTGGGAAGGTTTATGAAAGCATCCATGTACCCAAACGTGCCGGACTGTTATCAGGCAGGGAACACATTCATTTGGCACCCATGCCAAGTATGGGGAGATGCTCAGCCAGAGCTGGGAGCCCTGGGGCAGGGGGGGACCAGTGTCTTGGCTGTAACCCACCCCCTGAGCATCCTCTGGCCTGGCCCTGGTGCAGCCAAAGGTTTGTTCAACACACGGCTGCAGCAGGCGCTTGGGGACGTGGGGCTGAGCATCCCACACGTGTGGGGCTCGGGAGGGGGGGGGGGCTGTTTGCTGAGCTGTGAGCGGATGGTGCCAGCCCATCCCCGCCGGCACGGCCCACACCTTGGCTGCTCGAGGCTGCCGGTGCCATGCTAGCCCTGCCGAGGAGCTGCTGTCCCCAGTGCACGAGCCCTCACGGGTGAAACATCCTTCGCACGGTCCCAGGGAGCACCCAGCACCCCAGCCGAGCACATCTGGCTGAAAGCTGTGGGAGCTGCCCCAGCAATGAGGACACCAGCCTGGAAACATTCCCCTCCTGGAGAGATTCCCCCACCCTGTCCAGGCTCCTCTCCCGGCACCATCAGCGGGTGCTGGGCTGTGGGGTCTGCAAGGGGACGGTGCCCGGGGCTGCCACCCATCCTTGGGTGAGGTGGCAGGAGTGGGGCTGGGAGCTCTGCTCCCATCAGTGAGGGGAGAAAGGACCGCTCGGCCCCAGGCTGGGATGGGGCGTACCGTGCGGTCGGAGCAGGGCAGCAGCAAAGAGGTTTTGCTGTTTGCCTGCGGCAAAGCAGGAGGCAAACGCCGGGCAAGCTGGGGAGGCGAACTGGTTTAAACACTCAAGCTGGATGCTGGTAAGGCACACACGGGACTTCAGCTCCCGCCAGCGTGCCCGGCAGGACACCAGCCAAAGTCCCACTTGCCCGCGGGAGGGAGCAGTGCTGGAGGAAGGAAAGGGCTGGAAAAGCTCCTTCCACCCTCCGTGGGCATTGCTGCGGATAAAGCTGCTGCAGCCCCTTGCTCCGGGAGCCCGGGATGGGGCTGGGAGCCGGGGTCTGGGTGATGCGGGGCCCCTTGGCTGCCCGCGTGGGGTGGCCCGAGTGCCCGGCGTGGGCAGGCAGGGGCCAGGCACGGCGAGGGGGGCTCGCCCCACGCACACCCCACCCCCCGCTGTGGGATCCTGCAGTGTCGCTCTCCGGCACCGCTCCTGCCCCGCGTCCCCCCCCCTCGACTTGTTGCTATCGTCATCTCTAATATCGCGCAGAGATATGAAAGGCTGAGAGTCGCCTCTTTTCCTGCCAGGTTAAATCGTTCACCAGGAATGTCTATTATTCCCACAAGTCAACTTTCCCCTGCGCGGTATGTGTCCAGGGGTCAGGCCTGGCACTACATGAAAGTGAAGGGTATTCAATAACCTAGAGCCGTGGCAAGGCTTTAGTCCAACTCCAACCATGTTCAGGGTTTTATTGATGCAGCATGCCTTTCCCCATTTGTTTCCTATAAACAGCACATGGTAATATTTAGTAGGTTTCAAACAGAGCTTTTTGCATATTCTCCCTTGTCTACAATGAGCTACTTGGTAGTAGACAGTTTTAATTTACTTAATGCAATTTTTGCTTTTTGTTCTTCCAGAGGGTCTGGGCTGGTTTTGACCCAGTCGCCCCAGCAAATTACTGCACAACTCTGTAATTCCCGGGGGGGGCCGGCCGTGGGAGCCCGGGACCCACTCCCCGTGGGGGTGAGCACGTTCCCTTGCTTGCCAAAGGAGGGAAAAGGACCCGGCGTGAGCTCACCGTTGCAAAATAACCCCCTTTTAGCTGCGATGTCAGCAAGGACACGGGGCCTCCCTCCCCCCAGACCCTTCGGGACGTGGTCTCGGGGGGCAGCCGCTGCCCTGGGATCCGGATGTGTGCCGGGGCTGTTTGGGGCCGTTCTGGCGAGGTTTGGCTCCTGCCGCCGGCCGGGCAGGTGACACGCGATGCTCACCACCTCCAGCCCAAGAGAAAAAGCCACTTTCCTGCCAAAGCCGCCGCTTCCCCATCCTCGGGGCGGGCCGTGGCCGAGGTGCAGCCCTGGGGGCGCTCAGTGCTGAGCAAGGCTGCAGGTGGCCCCCCCAGCACAGGGGGTTACCCCCCGTAGGTTCCTGGGGGGCGTTTACACCGTTTATACAAGCACGAGAGGCCCAAATTCCTGCTCCTGGAGAGCCAGCAGTTGCCATTCCTCACCTGCATGCTCCCGGCCACAGCCGCCGAGCTGGCACCGGTACCACCCGAGGTGATTTTTTTGCCACTGTGGATGACCACAAGTAGCACGTCTCGGCGCTCTCTGCAGTGGAGAGCCTTGGGCTGGCAGTGGCGCGTCCCTGCTAACGTACACGCACAGGGGCAGGAAAAGGCCGGTCCTCAAACAAGCAAACATTGACTGTCTGGTTTCCCAGCGCTGCCCATCAGCCCCCCAGTCCCACCCCCCCAGCCCCCAACCCTCCGTGCGCTGAATATGGGGCAGGTTTCCTTCAGGCAGCAGCTTTCACACGCGCCGGCAGCCAGACATTCTTGGTGCAGCGCTGCCGTCGCCCTGCCAGCCCCGCTCGGCCGCTTCTCCACACCAGCACCCGTGTCGCCAAAAAAAAAAAAACAACCCCCCAAAAAAACAAACAAGAGGAAACCGAAGAGTTGACACTGGGATTCTTTTAATGCAATTGCTTTTAAAATGCAGCCTTAAATGACTTCTAATGATCAGTGATGAGCAAGGTGACCGAGCAGCTCCCCTGCTCCACAGCCGCCGCTGGCCCGTGGTGTCAGCCTCGAATTACAGCGACTTGCTGCCCCTTCATGGGACACACGTCACATCGAGTGTCCAAAACCTCCCGCCAAAGGGACTCATTTGGGCAAAACCGGGGGCGAGGCGAGCTGTCCAGATGACCCAATGTTCATCTGGAGAACGTGAAGGAACAGCAGCACAAGTGGCAGCTTTCTCTCTCTCACCTTACACTCAGGCATAAACCTACAAAGGCATTCGAGCCACCAGCTCCTGTGGAAGCGAGCAAGAGCTATCGACTTTAAGCTCCTAATTATCTCTGTGGATCTGTGCCTTCATGCTATGCAAAGTGATTTGAGAACGGAACGTCTGACTGCATTTTCTGGCTGAACAGGATGCAGAGGAAGTTGATTTTCCAGTATCTTGCTTTTTGAGATATAACACTACTTTGTGTATTTATTTTACAGAACAGCAGGTGCTACAGACTGCCGAAGCTTGCCAATTTAAGTAACACGGGAAATTCTGCTGCAGCCTAAACATCTGTGAGAATATCCCCCAGCACCGCCCCCACGCTGTGCAGCATTTATACACCGTGACAGGGGAAGAGACTCTACTTGCTGAAATGCATTTAATACCTCCCAGCCATTCGCCTGAGTTTTGGTTTTCGCCCTGTGGACTTGCCCTGTGGCCCCTGGCTGCACACAGCGCGCCACCGATGGCATTTTAGCCACACTTTCCTTTTCTCCATTTAAAATATTTACTGCTGCTCCATTGCAATTTAATGGTCCTCCCCTTCCAAGAGGGGAGTCACAAGACTGCTGGGGGAAGAGAAGCTGCATGATTCCACTGCTCTCTGACAAAAGGAGCCTCCCCAACCCAGTGCCAGCACTCCGAGGGCTCTCCCACATCACCCCTCGGTACCAAGCTGGCACTTCACCAGCAACTTCAGAAACAAATGCAGGAAGCCAGGTTGATCTACAGAAATACTACGTGCTTATCTCCAAATGAATTTTAAACACCTCTCTTTAAGAACAGCATTTAACAGTAAATCAGTGGGCTCTCATAGCTTGGTCTTCAATTCTGGTCATAAAACATGGCTTCAGATTTGAACAGACTCTTCTAGAGTTTGAGCAGTAGTTCTCACACAACCAAATGTCACAATTAGAAACTGAGTGTAGAAAGAGTCCCCAGGGGAATACGAAAAAGACATCACTTTATGAAAAAGCTTCAGAACGAACCTGTGAAATAAACAGCAACCAGACAATTGTCTTCTACGGAAGATGGAAGTAGCAGTAGAAGAATATAACAACATCTTAAACAGTCAGTGAGTCAGTCTGAACGTACAGGGGCACTACATCCCTGCAGATCTGTGACGAAAGCTAATGGCCAAAACCAGCTGGTCCCCTCCAAGCCCCAAGGGAGACGGGGTTGCAATTCACTCTTCACCAGCTGGAAGATTGTCTTCAATCCGCCTGATGAACTTCATTCTTATTTCTGTGACGCTGTCACCCTTCAGCGTGTCCTGGACAAATTTTACATCTACGGCCATCTGAACCTAGGTGACAGAAGAGGAAAGAAGAGCTGTTACCTCCCTTCTAACAGCAGCTTCTCTATGAACTGTCTGTCGTAAAGCACCAGCTCAAGAGCCCCGAGGGTGCGATGTGCAATGCAGAGCTCTACAGAAGCAATCCTTATTTTTCAAGCTCACACCCTTCTTGTACATTGTGGCCTATGTGGTGGCCAGCGGGCGCCTTCCCTTGGCAAACCAGGACACCCTGCAGGGATCAGAGCCCAACCAACCCCATCGCTCAGGGCTACGCATCCTGCTGCTCCGTGTGTCTTCCTCAAAAATTTCGGCTAAGCAAGATAATCAAGCCTAAATACAGACTCCTAAATTTGAGACACAGCTGTTCTCTTGTTCCAGCAAATTCCCAACTAGGGCTCACAGCAGCTGGGTGGAGGATTTTGAAGTTTCATCAAAATTCAAGGAGATACTAGTGCTTGTACTTGGGTCATAAGATGAAGGGGCTTGATCATCACCTCTGGGACTCACAGCTGCCATAAACAACGGCAGCCGAGCACTCCTGTAGCTCTGCTCTTCTTCTGGGAATGAATTTAGAGTCCAAAGCAAACACAGAAGTCACAGACACAGACTAGACATTAAAGTATCTGCTGCTATCTCGGTTATTCATAGATCTGTCCCACTGGAAGAGAGACGCTGGCTCACCATTTCCAGGGCACCTCGCAGCACTCCACACAACAAGTTGGAATAGATGAGAGATGAGTGGTTGTCTGGGAGCTCAACAAAGTCCACCAAGGGGTTATTTTCCAAGATCAGGGAGAACTCATCACCTCCAGGACTCCAGTTGGTGATGCTCGGAGTGATGCCCAGGTACATCTTAAATGCTATCTGTTATATCAAACAAGAGCATGTCCCATGAAGCAACAGCGCAGTTTTGATCTCTGTAAAATTACTAAGGGGTTTTGAAAACCCCACACCCTTCTCCCAGTTCCCACCAGTCAGCAGTAGTCAGGGACCTAATTCTCTCTTTTTCTTCCCCAAGCTCTCCGAACAGTCCTGCGAGTAGCAAATACTTTATCCTCACATGCAAAACCACGGCAAAACCTGACAAAGCCATGCTTCAACAATTACCTTTGCAATAACATCCGCAGTTTCACGGAAATCATGGCATCTTCCGACATTGGACCGGGCCAGAAAGTCTTCTATTAGCCGAACACCTATGTTGTAACCCCTGCAAACACACCAAAGAGCAACAGCTACACAGTGGGAAGAGGGTGGCTTCAGAAAGACAGCCGATGTTTATAAAATAAGAGAGTGGAGGAAAAAGAAAAATAAATCTGAAAAATATCGGTATTAAATAAAATTAACTCTGCCAGGCTTTTATTCCCAGAGCAGCACACAAAGACGTGCCTACTGTGACCCCCTGCTCCCGCAAGGCTCCGCTGCAGCGGATCCGCTTACATCTTGTCAAGCTGCTTATTGACGTCCTCGTCATTCTCGTAGTCCTTGCACAGCTGAGTGACCAGAGCGCCGTACGTCAGCGTGAAGAGCTCCGAGTTCTAGACAGAGGCAAAAGAGATTTAACACAAGCCAAAGAGAAAAGCAACCGAGCGCTGCTGCATCTGTGTCCAGCGCTGCTTCCGTTGGCCCGGAGAGGGGGAACAGAAACCTGCTGTCTCAAAGGAACTGGCTGCTTTATAAGGAGAGATCCCAGTTCATATTTTGGCAAGGCAGCTTCAGTCTCCTTGGAAAGAGAAATCCTCTTTGACTAGGAACGACTGGGCACTTTCTTTCTCTCCCTGTCTGCACACACACAGCGCTTCCCATTAACGCGTCCTGAAGAGCCAGGCCAGGCGGCTGCTCACACTCTGCCCCCGTCGTTAGCGTCTCCCCTCAGCCAGCAGTTAGCCTCTCTGCTTTGACCAGCACCTCCCCAGGTAACGGGAATGACCCCTCCAGGTCATGCGGTGCTACCGACCACCTCCTGGATGGCTAAACCTGCGGTTACCAGGGACCTGGATTTATTTCAACCACTGACCTACAGGGGAAAACTGGCTCAAACTGCTGTTATCTGTGTTTTATAAACGTGCTGCAAATGGGCAACACTCATTTCTGGTCCTTTCAACAAGATGAAAAAAAATGCTCGTCCACTCAGAGATTTATTACATTCTGTTACCAAGAAGCAACAAGACTTATCTGGTCCCTGGAAAGTTATCTAGGCACGGAATTTGCTTCATACATTAAACTCAGCTCCTCAGACCTAGAAGAGGAACAGTAAGGATGATTTCAGGTCCGCTCAGCAGATCTGTCTTGTGCACATCCGCTTCCTGTGCCTGGCTGGGATCAAAGTTACCCGGGCTTTCTCTGCACAGTTGCCAGATTTGCAGAAAACACCAAGGGAAGAGGTCTCCTCTCCCAGCTACCTCCGTCACCATCCTCAATCTGAAGCAACTATGTCAAAATGCATTTTCTTCAGAGCCATTAAGCTAGACCAGTTATTACAATCATTAAAGGCTGCAAAACAAAAAGCTACAACAGGTTTTAGCTTTCCACAGATCCTGAAGGAAGCCTTTTCAGGAACAAAGAAACCATCATAATTTAGGTCTGCTTTCAGTTTTAGCATTCAGAAACATTAGAGAGTCTAATCTCAGATTAAAAGCCTATCACCTACCATGAGATGCATAGATGCAGAAGGTGAAATGAATGGCAAATACCAATACTACAGAATGAAAGCAGCAGGCAGGCAGAAAGGAAGGGAAAAGAGACAACATCAGAGTTAAGTGACAACACTGATCGCACTTCATTCTGAACAAGTTTACACAAAGCCAAGACAAACACAAGGAGGAATCACTCCCAAATGGCAACATTCAACAAACAGAAATTAGGTTTGCTAGAAGACACAGGGAATTCCACCTTGTCATTGTAATTCAGGAGGTCAACAGCAATTACCTACCAAAAGGCTTTAAGCTCCTTGGTACTTTTGTCCAATTTTAGATGTAAAGAATTGACACATTCTTTGGATTTTTTACTTACAACTCTGCTTTCACCTTGGAAAGATAAAGATTGTGCAAGTTCACATCACTCTGGAGCAAACAACAAGGTGGAAGTCTCCTTTGCTCAACTGGCAGAGTCAGACATTTGGCAGAGAATTTTAACAAACATGCAAAGAAGGTTACGCTATTTTTAAGGGTTTCGGTAATTTTAGTAAAGACAGGGCTTGCCAGCTGGAGAGAGTAGGGGGGGATGGATGGAGGAAATCCAGCTGTTACCAGTCCAAGATTTGGTCATTTGCTGTGTGAAGCCATGAGGCCGTCACCTGCTGTTGCGAGCCCCAACCTGTGCTAACCCAGGGCTGGTCCTGGTTACCGCCTGCAACACTGCTGGTCAGGGAGCTGTAAACTGTTATAACAAGGCAAACTACTAAGTTCATGTTTGTAAACAAACTCTTTGGTTTTGGTCCATCTAATATGCCTAATACTTTTACCATTATTTATATTTTTTCATATTGCAGAATAGCGTAGTCCCAACACTACGTAACCATTCTGTAGCTACAAAAATGTCAGAAACCTAATGAAGTAGCACCAATTCCTTAAGTAAAAATCCTTGTATTTAATGAGTTGAATCCCTAGAAGCAAATCGTGGTGTGGACAGGGCAGGAGCAGGCAGCTGCCTGGCCTCCGCTGAGCCTGAACCTGCCCGTCAGCATTGCCAAAGAGGGACAAAAAAACAGATTTTTATTACTTGCTTTCAAATCATAGAATGGTTTGGGTTGGAAGGGGCTTTAAAGATCATCTAGTTCCAACCCTGTGGACTGCCACTACATCAAAAATGAATTAATTCGACCTGGTTTGACCCAGAATTAGACCTCGGCCCTGTGGTTTTGTTCTCCATTTCTCGTTTCTCAGTTCAGCCGGACCGGTAACACGGAACCGGGTCGGAGAGGAGGGAGAGAAGCGAGACGAGCTGCGCTTTGACCGTGAAGTTTCCGTAGAGGCGAGCGTCCCGTTCCTGTCCGACCTGACCCCGACGCTCGGCACCGGGCGCTCCCCGCCCCGCGGCGAGGTGACGGGACCCCCCGTGAGGAACCGCAGCGGGTACCGGACACTTTAGGCTCCGCCGGGCTCCTCAGCGCGGTGCCGGCGGAGGGGCAGAGCCCGCCGAGCCCCCCCCCCCTCCCCGCGCCCCGAGGCGGGCGGCGCCGGGCCCCGCCGCGGGCCTCGACCCGCCACCCCCGCGCCCTGCCCCCGCCGCCGGCGGGGCGCCCCGGGCCTGCCCCCGCGGGCGGCGAAGGGGCCCCGCCGTTACCATTTTCTTGCTCTCGGTGCCGCGGCCGCCTTGGCGCGACATCCTGCCCGGCCCCGCTGCGTCCCCGGCCCGGCCGCCGCCCGCACCGCGCCGCGGGGCACGCCGGGACTCGCAGTCCGAGCGGCGCTCCGGCCCCTCCCAGCCTTCCGCCCCCTGAACTACAAGCCCCAGGGTGCAACGCGGAAGACGGCGTGCGCATGCGCGACGGCGGGGGGGGTGTGCGGGAGTGATCATCTGACCGCCGCTCCCGGCAAGCGCCGCGCGGGTTCCTCCGCGCCGCCAGGGGGCGCCTCCGCCCGCCGCGCCCGTTCCCGCCGCCGAGTCCCGTTCCCGCCGCCGAGTCCCGTTCCCGCCGCCGAGTCCCGTTCCCGCCGCCGAGTCCCGTTCCCGCCGCCGGGTCCCGGTCCCGGTCCCGGTCCCGCTGCCCCCGGGGCCGCTCTGAGCGTTTCCCCCGGCCCTCGCTTCTCCGGGGTATCTGCCAGGAGCGGGTACACCCCTACCCTGCCCGGCCCGCGCCCGCGGCGCTGCTCCCTGCGACGGCGGGACGGTGGCGCGGGCGCCCGGCGGCTGCTGCGGGGGGACCCCCCCCACCCCCAGCCCCGGTGGGGCTTTTGCGGGGCGAAAAGAGAAAGGAAAGGGATTAAAGCCAGGCCCCGTCGGTGGGGAAGACCCTGCGGCCGTGGGAGCCGGTGTTCCCCGGAGACGGGCGGCGGGAGCCCCGGGTGGGGGGGTTCCCACGCTTCGCCTGCTTGAAAAATCAGAAATCAGCCCGGCCCGGGGCTCCGTGCAACTTTGGTAAATATTCACCGCAAGAACCGACCCTCCCCAGCCCACGCGGCTGCCCCAGCACCGGCCTCTGCTCCCAGTCAGACACTGCTGGGTGGTTACTTATTGACTGGGGGATGCCTCTACCCCAGAGACGTCGCCGGTGGCCGACCCCCGCTCAAGGGTGCTGATGGCAGCCGGGGCGGTGCGGTGCGGGGGGGGGGCCCCGTGTGCCGAGGGGGCCGTTAGCGGGACAGGAATCCAGCAGCAGCTGGGCGATCGCCCGCCGTCATGGCTGAGCCACCGCGCTGGGAGCGCGGGGGCTGCCCGGGCTGGCGTTGCCTTACATGGCTACGTCCCCGGGACGGCACAGCCTGCACTTGCTCGGCTGCGAGCCCCCCCCCCCTCCCCAGGCCTGGCACCAGCTCTTGGGGTGGTTGATCCAGGCTGGGGAAGCGCCAGCGTCGCCTCCATCCTTGGCAGGAGCGGGGCACGGTGCCCAAAGAGGCTGAGATATCTGTGCTCCCCCATCGCCCGGCCCTGAAGTGCAGGGGAGCAGCCTGCGAGCGCCGGGTCCCCTCCTGCTCCCAGCCCCGGGGGGGCAAGCGGCCGTTCCGTGCTCTCCTCTGACCCCTGCGCATCGCCCAGCTGCAGGGCTCCGTCCAGGGGAGCGTGAAGGTGGGGGGCGGCCCCACGGCTGCCATGCTGGAGTGGGCATGAGTCCCCTGAGCCAGGTGGCCACCGAGCTCACCCACACCAGTCTCCACAGGCCCGGGCTGCCCCGGTGCCAAGCTGAACCCTGGCTGTCACCGTGCCGTGGGAACGGCCATGCGAGGAACAGAGGAAATGCTGCCATGCACCCGGGGGGCTGCCCGAGCCCACCAGAGCCAGCACCCAGCCCTGCACGGTGTCCCCAGGCTGCGAGTGTGGCACTGGGCTGGCACAGCTGGGGGGAACAGCAGCCTCGGTCCCCGAGCACCAAGAGTGTGACCATGGCCACCGGAGGTACGGTGTCCCCCGGTCACCGCCTGGGTCCCTGGCGGGGTCCCCAGGGTGCTGAGCTGGCTGGGTGTCACAGGGCATGCGGGGGACATGCGCTGGCATCATGCCCCGTGGCTCTCGTTAGAGCACGGCCTGCTAACGAAGGCCCTTCCCTTTGTGGCCCCAGGTCTAGGACAGGAGCGGTGGCGGGGGGTGACTTCTACCACCCAGCCCCAAGCAGAGCCCGTGCCCGGCCAGCCCCCCTGCAGCCGGGGTGTCCCCAGGAGCCCGTTTGGGGGCACCGGGCGGCTCTGCCGGTTCCTGCTCGCAGATGTGCCCGTGTCGGGAGGTGCTTGAAGGGGGGCGGACACATACACACCAAAACGCCGTGACCTGCCAGCACGGCAGAGCCAGGGGACGGGAGCCAGGGCCCGGCTGCACGGTGCACGGTGCTCCGGTGCTGCCGGATGGGACTCGCCGCCCCCCAAATACAGACCCCGGTGGCGGGGGCCGGTTGCTCGTGCGGGGGGAGGCGGCTGGGGCTCCTCCGCCGATTCCTGATGCGGGGAGCCCTGGCATTGCCCCGGGACACCCCACCTCCCCCGCGGCTCCGGGACTCCCCGTTCCGTCCCGTCCCGCCCCGCTCCGCCCCGTCCGGCGGGCGCAGGACCGAGCTGCAGCGCGCCCCGCCCCGCTGCGCCCATCGCCCGTGGCCTTGGAGCGCCGCGCCCGTCCCGGGAACCGAGCCGTGCCGTGATGCACCGAGCCGTCCCCCCTCTCTCCCGGCGGAGCGCGGCGACCCCCGGCGCGGCCGTCCCGGGGCTGGCGGGGCTCCGGGCCGCCGCCGTGCTGCTGTGCGCGGCGCTGGGCACCGGGGCGGCCCGGGAGCAGCCCTCCCCCCGCTTCCCCTTCCCGTTCCGGGACCCGGCGCTGCCGTGGCACCGGCGCCTCGACGACCTGCTGAGCCGGCTGAGCCCCGCCGAGCTGGTGCTGCAGGTGAGGAGGCGGCGGGCGGCGGCGGGGGCGGCCCCGGGACCCCCCCGCTCAGCGCCACCGGCCCGCAGGTAGCGAGGGGGGGTGCGATGGGGAACGGCCCCGCGCCCCCCATCCCGCGGCTGGGCATCGCGCCCTACAACTGGAACACGGAGTGTCTGCGGGGCGACGCGGAGGCACCGGGCTGGGCCACGGCTTTCCCCCAGGCGCTGGGGCTGGCCGCCGCCTTCAGGTACCGGCACCGGGGACAGACACCCCCCCACACACACACACCCCCGGGCTGGGACCCCCGGGGGTGCGCCTGGGGCTGCACCCAGAAATGTGAGATGGGTCCCCCGACACCCTCCCCACGCTCTCCCCGCAGCCCTGAGCTCGTCTACCAGGTGGCTAACGTCACCGCCACCGAGGTGAGAGCCAAGCACAACGACTTCGTTGCCACGGGCCGCTACGGTGACCACACAGGGCTCAGCTGCTTCAGCCCCGTCCTGAACATCATGAGGCACCCGCTGTGGGGCAGGAACCAGGTGCCAGCACGGGGGGTGGGGGGGGGTGACCCCGGGATCGGAGCAGACCACGCAGGACTGTGGCTGACTGGCTGGAGGATGACAGCAGCTCCCCGGGGTGCTGGCTGCAGGGGGGGTGTGTGGGGCTGGGGGTCCCGGCGGTGACCCACCCACGCCTCGGCCAGGAGACCTACGGGGAGGACCCGTTCCTGAGTGGGGAGCTGGCCCGCAGCTTCGTGCAGGGACTGCAGGGCCAGCACCCCCGCTACATCAAGGCCAGCGCTGGCTGCAAGCACTTCAGCGTGCACGGGGGCCCCGAGAACATCCCCGTCTCCAGGCTCAGCTTCGACGCCAAGGTGAGCGCGGCGGGGCCGTGGGACGGTGGGCAGCCCCCCTGCCCTGGTCACTGACCCCTCTCTGCCGCGGCGTTGGCAGGTGCTGGAGCAGGACTGGCGCACCACCTTCCTGCCCCAGTTCCAGGCGTGCGTGCGCGCCGGCTCCTACAGCTTCATGTGCAGCTACAACAGGTACCGAGCGTGGCAGGGGCTGCGGGGGGGGCTGGGCTGCCCGGGGGGGGGTGGATGGTGGCCGGCCGACCGGGCTGCCCTGTCCCTTCTCTGACAGGATCAACGGCGTTCCCGCCTGCGCCAACAAGAAGCTGCTGACGGAGATCCTGCGCGGCGAGTGGGGGTTCGAAGGCTACGTGGTGAGCGACGAGGGGGCTCTGGAGCTCATCATGCTGGGGCACCGCTACACACGCACCTTCCTGGAGACGGCGGTCGGTGAGCTCGCGGGATGGGCGCGGGGTCCCCGGGCACCCCGCAGCCGTGACGGGCGGTTTCCCTTCTCTCCGGCACGGCAGCCTCGATGAACGCCGGCTGCAACCTGGAGCTCTCCTACGGCATGAAGAACAACGTCTTCATGCAGATCCCCCAGGCTCTGGCCATGGGCAACATCACGCTGCAGGTGAGCTGGGGCGAGCGGGGCCAGGGGCAGGGAGCCAGGGCTGCCCCCACCGAGCGCCGCCGAGGTTTTGGGTGTCGGGGTCTTTGCAGATGCTGCGCGACCGGGTCCGGCCCCTCTTCTACACGCGGATGCGACTGGGGGAGTTCGACCCCCCGGCCATGAACCCCTACAGCGCCCTGGACCTGAGCGTCGTGCAGAGCCCCGAGCACCGCAACCTCTCGCTGGAAGCTGCTGTCAAGAGCTTCGTGCTGCTGAAAAACGTGCGGGGGACGCTGCCCCTCCGGGCCCGGGACCTGCCCAGCAAGCGCCTCGCGGTGAGCACCGCCAACGGAGACGGGCAGGGGCACACGGTGCCCTGCTGGCTGCTGGCTCCCTACCCCAGCCACGCAGGTGTCCCCTGCTTTGCAGAGCCACAGGCTGCATGGCGCGGGGCTGCCGGTGCCCGCCGTCACCCCTCTGCCCGCCGCAGGTCGTGGGTCCCTTCGCTGACAACCCCCGGGTGCTGTTTGGGGACTACGCGCCGGTGCCGGAGCCGCGATACATCTACACTCCACGGTGAGACAGCACGGTGCTGCCATCCTTCTCCAGGCCCTGGGCACTGCCCGGGGCTGCTGCTGGAGCCTCTTCACCCTTCGCTGGCGGGGGGGGGGCCATCCCCAAGGTGCCCCGACCCTGGGGCACAACAGCCCCTGTGCCCTCTGCTCTTCCCTGGTGCAGGAGGGGGCTGGAGATGCTGCCGGCCAACGTCAGCTTCGCGGCGGGCTGCCACGAGCCGCGGTGCCAGGAGTACTCGCGGGCGGAGGTGGTGGGGGCGGCGGGGACGGCCAACGTGGTGGTGGTCTGCCTGGGGACAGGTAGGTGGGAGCAGGGAGGGCGCTGGGTGGGCACAGCCTGGGGAGGGGGAGCACCCCAG